TTGGAAGAAATGGGGCACACGCGAAACACCGAACAATGCCGCTTGAAAATCAAAAAACATAATTAAATATTTTTTTTTGCTTTCAAAAGACTGAATTAGCAGTAAGTAGCCAAAGTAAGTGTACCTATGTAAACGTAATTGATGGCAGCATGATTTGGATTTTACTGAATCTTATACTGTGATAGAAGCTGACATAATAAACCGCATTTTCCAGCCTCAACTATTAGTTTTAATTTTGGGCTGTCAGTCAGGGGCGGTCACTAATGATGTCATTTGGCGCGGTACTGTTTTTTATGCCAGTGGAAAACCGACATGAAAGAAGTACCTGTCACGTTCGGGGACCGGCGAGACGGGAAGCAAACGAGAGCAAGCCAGGACTTCAGGGAAACGGGGTTTATTCCGAGGCTGACGGACAACACGTAACACTATAATGCCGGATCTGGCAGACATGGGGAGACGCGGACTGATATACACAAGACTTGGTAAACGGAACAGGCAACAGGTGAGAACCATCAGGGCTGAACACGAGGTAATGAGGGGGGCGTGGCACACATCGGGATCGTACGGAGCGGGATATGACAGTACCAAACTTTCGGCACTTTATGGAAGTACCGAAAGTACCAAAAGTACGGTACCTGGTGCGGTGGAAAAACGCCCTTAGTCAACTGTAGTTTCAGTCGACTGTAATCATGATATTTAGTCGACTAAAACTAGACTAAAACTAAAATAATTTAAATGACTAAATTATGACTGACACTAAATTACATTTTAGTCAAAAGACTATGACTAAAACTAAATAAATATTTGCTGTCAAAATTAACACTGCGTCTAAGCGAAACTCCGCGATGATTCCGCGACCCTTTTTATTATCCTATGCGACCATTTCCCGACCCTCTTACTATCCTACGTGATGATTCCCTGACCCTATTATCCTACGATTGCCAATAATTATTTCAACGTTTGCTTTAATGTTGAACACGTATCGATACTAATGTATTTTATTTATAAAATATATTAAAAATACAAAGGTGTTTGTGATGATATTATATTTCTTAGTATCCATGTATTAGCTATGTATAAGGTCGTTTTCTAAAACCATAATCATACTTCGAAGTAGTAATGCTTCATATTACTACTTCCAGAGGCAAACAAACCCTTTTCTAAACAAGATCTGACGTGATGCATAGTTTTCCCTACCAAAAAATCGACCTTCGACTTAAAAGCGACGATCCGACGTTTAAGTGAGCAACGCTTTTCAACACCGCGACAATCCGACGTTTTCGCAAATAAAACGCGATGCTTCGTAATGGAACACGATCCAATTGCGACCATCCGCCGTTTATGCGACATATTGCCTACGTACTTGTGCTGACAGGGAATATGCTTGAATTCTTTATTAATTATCATTGTTAAAATGCTTTACAACACATTTTATACTTATTTTAAAATAAGCATTCTACCAAAGTTTTTAAAATGCTTTTGATGTATGTTGATATATGCCGTTCACTAGCTTCTACAGCAATTAAACACAACAGGGTTTGTTTGGGCGACCCCCCACGCACCAACCGACCGAGACAGTGGGACGAGTCGTGTACACTCTGGTATAGTGATGGGAAGTTCGGCTCAATTAACTGATTCGATTTTTTCGAACTGTCCGTTGTAATGAATCGATTCTAAAACCGATTCTATGATTTTTTTGTCTTTTTTTTTCCGGCTGACCATAAGACTCAACGATCGAATCATGGGATCGGATAATAAATTTCTCAAGGTTACGTTATTTGACTGAAAGATAGCGCTGGTGTTCAACAAAAATGTTCAGCTTGACTATTCACAATAAAAAAAAACAATGCATAAAAAGCAGAAAGGGTGTCGATGCTGAATAAACACGCGTGTATATATATTTCTTATTTTCTTTACTTAAGCCAAATTCATGTGCATGAGTATCAAGGACTACATCACAGTTAACAACAACTGCAATATTACCAATACAATCACACATACATATATAATGAGCATGAGTAAACTTGCATACGTTGTTGTGTAAATGTCAAAGTTAATAAATATCTTAGTTTGTTCTTTGATGAAAGACATATAGTTTTATTATACAGAAATGCAATAATTTACTTTTGTGATAAATGATGAAGAGCTGCGTTTATTTTATTCCTTTTAACAGTGTAACTGCATTTCCGCAGTAAACGCCGCGAGGGCTCTTGGGATCGGTTCGTGAACCGTTCGTTTGATTCACCGACCGAGTGTCCGAAAACCCGTAAGTTCCGATTAGTTCATCGAACAGGTTCTTTTGAGTCACCCAGTGTCCGAAAACCCGCATGTTTGATTCGTTCATCGAACAGGCTCTCAGGTTTTTTGGAGTCAGCGAGTTAGAGACCAGGGGCCGGTTGCACAAAACACCTTAAGTTTTCCCCTTAAGTATAACACTTAAGGTT